ACTGTCATAATTAAAATGCGACACAGACCACCCCTTGCTTTAGCAGCTCACCGGGTAAAAGGAAAGTGAACAGCCAGAATGAATAGATTATGAGTTGATGGAGCTAGAAGTTGGCCCCGGGAATTAGCATGCTGGTATGTCCTATTCAGCAGAACAGCTGGCCTTGACGTATGGAAAGAAAATGAAACAGCCTTCCTTCCCACTGTCGAGTTACCTCACTGGCCTTCTTACTTCTCTGCTAGAAGGGCAGGCTGGAGGAGGACCAGAGGGAGTGGGGGAAAAGTATTGGAAACGGTATAGATCCTCAAAGGAAGGCCTCAAGCCTTAGGACTGTCCTCTGTGAGTATACTAATGCCCAGGCACAAGGGTCATGCATCTGCTTTTTCTGTGTAGCTCTACTTCTTTAAGCCTGACAAGGTCTTAACCTTTTTGAAGATTTATATAAAGTCAGAGTTACAGAGGAAGAGATAGACCCAAAGATCTTCTGTTTGCTGGTTCACTCCCCAGATGGCTGCCAAAGCCTGGGCTGGGCCAGACTGAAGCCAGGAGCTCATTTATCCAGGTCCTCCACTTGGATGGTAGAGGCACAAGGACTTATGCTGTCTCCCGCTTTTCTCAGGCCATTAACAACGTGTAGGATTGGAAATAGAGCAGCCGGAACTGATACTGGCACCCACAGGGGATGCCAATATCGCAGGCAGCAACTTTATCTCATGCCACAGTGCTGGCCCCAGGTTTTCACCTTTAATGCTGAATTCAGAAGCCACCTCTTCTGAGAAACCAACAGGCTCAAAGTAACTATAGTTTCACCTCATTGCGCATATATTTTATACTTAAAGCATCTGTTAATTTTGCCTTCTGATTATTTCCACATATACCAGTTTCTTGTGATAGACTTTTGAGAGTCCAGGAGATGGTAATCTCACCCAGCCAAGCACAGTGGTGGTAGAATATACCTGCTACAAAGAAGACGTGTTTTAGACAGTACTTGTGTGAATGGAAAAAAAAATTCGAGGACTGTATTTGACTAATGACATAACAGGTTATTTTAGTTTCTGCTCTGTGGAAAGTATAAATAAAACATTCCAACAGTTTTAAATGCAGTTTTTCTTTATTCTGTCTTTGTGTGTGTGTGTGTGTGTGGTAGATTTAATTTTTATTGGAAGGGTAGATTTACAGAGGCAAGGAAAGACTGAGAGGAAGATCTTCCATCTGCTGGTTCACTTCCCAAGCGGCCACAGTGGCTGGAGCTGAACTGATCCTAATCTAGGAGCCAGGAGCTTCCTCTGGGTCTCCTATGTGGGTGCAGGATCCCAAAGTCTTGGGCCATCCTTGACTGCTTTCCCAGGCCACAAGCAGGGAGCTGGATGGGAAGTAGAGCAGCTGAGACACAAACTGGCGCCCATATGGGATCCCAGTGCATGCAAAGGTGAGGACTTTTCAGCCGCTAGGCCATAGCGCTGGGCCTGCATCCGTGCTGTTGATTGCTAAATGTAATAGTCTGATCATGACACTGGATGACATGTGTCCTTTTTTAAAAAACAAATCAAAATAATAAAAAAAGAAGTGGTCTCATTTGTGATGGGCCCTTATATGGAGGACAAAAACAGCTGCTAACATCTGTGAAGAGCTTGGCATGCGCCATGCATGGTTCTAAATGTCTTCCATATATATTTTAATTCTTATACTGTAAAATAAATAATATTAAAATCCCACAGAGTAAAATAATAATGCAAAAAGAAGTTATTTGCTCTAGTTCTGGCTCTTGACCAGTACATTATATAGTTAATACCTTGTTCCTATGAGACCTTCTATCATCCTGACTTGACCAAAGGAGCAAACCATTAGGAGTTCTTTTCCTGCCCATTGATTTGTCAGGAAATATAGCTTAGTCCTATTTGCAGAGGCTCCAAGTGGTTGGGCCCCTGCCACCAACGGGACACACTAGGAGTGGAGTTCCTGGCTCCTGGCTTCGGCTTGCTCCAGACCTGATTGTTGCAGCCATTTGGGCTGTCTCTTCCTATCTCTGCTGTTGCCCTGCCTTTCAAATAATATTTAAGAATACCAGCTTGTTAAGATTCTAAGTTTCTGAGATGTTGATGTGCTTTCAGATAGTTGCCAGGTATATTCTCTAGGAATTGCTTTTTAAGTGAAGTAATTAAAAGAATTCCTTTCTGTATTCTCTTCACAAAATAATGGTAGATTGTGGTTTCTGTAATGGGAATATATCCCTCAAAAACTGTTTTTCATCATATGTTGGCCTCTCCCTAAGTTTCCATTCCTCCTTTCTGCCCACTTCCTTCCTCCTTGGCATCTGTCTTTTCTTTCTTCATTGATAGCAGGCATGAATGGGTGTCTGTGTGATAGGGACTTCATTGTTGGCTCCCACCGCAGCAGTCAGAACATTCTCTGTGGTCTGTGTTCTAAGGTCTGCTCAGACTGTCTCAGCCAAGCTGGCTCACAGTTCTGAGCAGTGGTGTTTTTCTTTTGTTGTTGATCTCCTCTGCTCCCACATTGATAAATAGCAAACTGACAGCAGATGCAAAGGAGGAAAAACCTTCACTCCTGTTATCTGAGCTCAAATGTTGGTCAAAGACATTACCCCTTGGGCTGGATCTGTAGGAAATCAGCTGTCCAAATGTTGACCAAGAGATGGCAGATTTTGCAACCTGGGTGACTTTCCTTCAGCCTCTCCTAAAACATCCTGTTGTCCTGAAGCACCATCAGATGATCCTATGTCATTCTTTCTGTGGGCCCACCATGTAGTACCACAGGGCAGCTTTGTCCTGCCTCATTACATGTGATATTATATTGTGTTATGCTGCCATGTGTAACATTTTAATATTGATAGCTGTGAAGTAATGACATCCTGGAGCTCAAGTCACTGCATGTAACTCTTAAGTGCTTGTCATTTCCTCTTCCTATAAGATATGATTTAAGTTGATGAGTGCTTTATTGTTGTTCCTTTCCCAGCCTTGGGCTGTGGGGTGTTAAAGACCTGAGGCTGTTAAGTGAAGAGAAGGAAGACAACAGAGTTTATACTTCTGAGCTGTGGGTTATCCACTAAACCCATAAAGTGGAACTAATTGACTGCCTCTGCTGCAGGCTCGGTGGAGTTGCCAAAACCTGCATAGACTGTGGAGATTGGGCCACTCCTCCAGATATGGTGGGATAGCCAGAATCACATCTCTGCCCAGACCTCAGAAGACCAGCTTGTTGGGAGAGCTGATTTTGGGGATCTTTCTTTCAAGGCTGTCTTGAAAAGTCCAGCATCATAGGACACTAGGGTCAGGCATAGGCATGGGCTCTGTTTTAATATGTCATGAAGTTTACAAAGCCACCTCATCTTGGACCCTCCTCCTGACTTCCCATGTCAGAGACAGAGTGGAGCTTTCCCAAGAGACTAAGGGCTGCAGGTGTGTTGGTGAGAACGTGTGTGTTAAAGCAGGTAACAGTGGCAGAGGGTGTCCAGGCAGGGCTCTGTAGAAACTCCTAGGGGAAGAAGTTTGCCAATGCAGCCTAGTGGAGACTTGGGATCTTAGTACTATGGTAAGAGTAAAGGGGTTTAGAGGTTCACGTGGATCATGGCCCTCACTGTAGATGCTGCAACCCATGAAATCCCTGCCCATACCTAACAGCCTGGGAGCAGCCAGCATCTGAGCCGTGTTTTCAGACTCTTGGATTTAAGTCTTCTCTCTGATCTCCTTGTACAAACCTCTAGAGGGGGGTCCTTCGTTTCCTCCTAAGTACAAACAGAGGAACTCAATTCATTTGCTTGTAAGAGTTTTTGATCTCACAAATAACTCTTAGGAGCTTTGAGTTGAGTAGGGAATTTTTTATTGTAGGTGCTGTGGATACTAACAGAAAAAGAAATCAAATCGTGTCCAGGTTTTGCTATTATTCACCCTGATGATGTGGGTTGGGGTCTTCCATGGGATTTACTTCAGCCAGGGAAAACCCCTGGGTGCCCCAGTGCAGTGCTAATGTTAGACTGTGATTTCGTCAATTATTTACGCCACTTCAGGACGGAGGTATTTGAGTGTACAGTAGGAATTGGCCTTGTGAGCAAGTAGTGTCTGATTTCAAGGATGTTAAGGTTTGGGGAGAACTGCGAATATCTCTGGGCATTAACGAATTAGATTTTTTTTTTTTTTTTTTTGGTCAAGCAGATCAGCTAAGGTTAAACTTAAACAAATGTGAGCAGCTGGGAGACTTTGGAAGGCGTAGATGTGCACAGGGCAAAAAAAAAAAAAAAAGAGAGAGAGAGAAAAGGAAAGAGAAGCACTCGCCCTGAGGAAGGAAGGAAGGATGAGGCGTGGAACTCTGAATGGGCTCCCCCAAGGAAGGAAGCAGTCCTCGCTCTGCTGTTTTGTTTTGCACTTTCAGTTAAGGAATTCCAGAAGTTGCAGGTTGTGGATCATGACCTCCTTTTTTTTCCCCTCCCCCTGTTGCTGCTTGCCAGAGGAAGGGAGGGCAGGAGCAGCTGTAAATAACACTTTGGCCTTTATGGAAATGTGTCAGATGTTCTAGCAGTGAGCCTCCCCTTGCTCGTGCCTGCTGATCGGCTTGCGTGCGCACTCTCTCTGTTTCTCTCTCTCTCCCTCCCTCCCCCTCTCCCTCACTCACCTCATGTTCACTCACTCTGTCCTCACTTGTGTCCTTTCTGTGGGATATTGTTAGCACTTCTCTTCGCCTTATATAGCGAGGCCTGGTCGTTAATGTTAACAGAGATCTAGCAGGGAAGGCGGCCAGATAGCATTAATCAGGCCCAGTGTTTGGAATTTCATAAATGCTCTGGGTACAAATCGAACATTAAGAACAATATGAAACTGTTTTCCTTCCCCTCTCACTCCTTCTCTCCCCTTGCCAGCTCACCCGTCTCCTCTCCCCTTCCCTGCTTCTGAATTCCTCTGCTCTGCTGGATGCTCACTACTTTGGAACTTTGTTGATTTTTGCCACATTTAATTTTTTATTTTCTCTGTCTCTCCGTCCACTCCAAGACCACAGGCAGAGCAGCAGCAGCCGGAGCCAGGACTCTGCAGAGGGGCGAGACGGGCAGGTCCCTGAGCAGTTCTCAGGTCTCCTCCACGGCTCCTCCCCGGTGTGTGAAGTGGGGCAGGACCCTTTCCAGCTGCTCTCTGCCACCAGCCAGAGCCATCCAGACGGGTCCTCCCAACAAGGTGCTTGCCGCGAGGCTAGCATGCAGCTGGAAGAGATGGGCGTGCACACTCCTGGAGCCTCTCAGCCCAGCACCCTAGACCAGAGTGGGAGAGCGGGCTACCCAGCAGGTTTGCCTACCGCCACCAACAGCCGACTGCACCCCGGAACTCTGACTCACTCGGTGCCTCTGCACCCTGGCGGGGCCGAGGACGAAGGAGAGCGGAGCGGGGCCAGAAGCCGAGCCCCTCCCACCAGCAAACCCAAAGCTGAACTCAAACTCAGCCGCAGCTTGTCCAAGTCCGACTCTGATCTCCTGACCTGCTCACCCACAGAGGACACCACAATGGGGAGCCGGAGTGAGTCCTTGTCCAACTGCAGCATCGGCAAGAAGAGGCTAGAGAAGTCACCCTCCTTTGCCTCGGAGTGGGACGAGGTAAGGCTGACCTGACATCACAGAGAGGGAGGCTGGTGGGGCTGCCCGTCATGCTGACTCCTGGGGCTAGGGTCTCCTTGTTTCCCTCACCCTGTGGCCTGGTGTGAGGGAGGCAAACCCTGAGCTAGCCAGGGTCTCAGAGGACAGGTCCACTGATGGTTAAACTGAAGGGTGGAGGCTCCAGTAGAGCAGGGCCAAGGGAGGAGCAGTTCCTAGAAGTGACATGTTGTTTGGAAATATTTGGATCCCATTAACCCCACTGAAATAGTCATGCTCAACCTGAATATGCTTAAAAAGAGCTGGTGTACTTTTTGTGTCAGTCCCTCAACACAGATGGGAGATCCAAGACCAACAGGATAAGTGGGGGAAAGGGATGGTGAGAGGGGAGCACGAGGAGAAGCTGATCTAAAGGGATCCTCCCTGCCACAGTGTTGTTCCTGCCTTCCTGTGGAAGGCCGGATTTCTTCCCGTAGTGGCATTGTCTTGCCCACCTGCAGTCTGAGTCTGGTGAGACCAGGTGATTGAGGAACCTGAGCAGTCTTGGTGAGGAAGAAGCATTTACAGCCTGAGGCCTGGGTTCCTTTCCTAAGTGCTGTTAGAGGATATTTGGAGATAAGGACCCACGTGTTTTCCAGTGACCTGTGGCTTTACTGGGCAGGAGGACATGTTTCCCAAAGACTGGTAAACACCCCAGGAATGTTTAAGTGCCACCCTCGCCAGGCTTTTTGCTGAGAGGAAGCTGCTTTTGAAGTGAACTGAGTCTGTCTCCCAGGAAAGGTTTCAACAGATGCATTTAGCTCTCCAAGAGGAGGGGGGCAGTCCAGCTGACATGACCATGCCAACAATCTGTAGACTTCATACCCTGCCCAAATCTATTTGGGGTGCAGCTGCGAAGTTATGTAAACCAAAGCCAGTCCTGTTCCCAGTATGGGAACAGGGTGGGACAATTGCTCTAGTACTGTTATCTCCAAATAAAATGAGACTTTGGAATCTGGTCAGAGACACAGGAATCCTGTGCAAAAAAAAAAAAAAGTCATTCCTTAGTAAACAAAAATTTGATGAGCCTGTACTATGTGCCCTAGTAATGAAAGAATTGCTGTAGGGGAGATAACTCCTGGAGTGGCCCCAAGAGACTGTGCAAAAGAGTGTGTATGGGTGGGAGTGTTTTTCAAAGTAGAGCTTTACTAATTTGTGTCAGCTGTTCAGTAGGGCAGTTCAAGGGTAGGGTGGAGATAAGTATAATCTCTGAAATGGCAGGAGAAGTCAGAAGAGGAAAGCTTGGCGAGAGAGGGGATGGGCAGCGACGGGAGGTATGAGGGTAGGAAGGGACTTGAGGAAAGTTTGCTGAGATATGGAATTTGAGGTGGCATTAGGGCCCACATGTTGTATTAATCCACATGAAAACTTTGTGGAGTCTGAAAGTTAGATCATCTGCTTGCTGTGGAGTGTTGAATATGTATGGAGGACAATAAGGAATGAGATTAGGAAATGAGATTGAGGCCAAAGAGTGAGAGGGGTTTGAACGTGAGGCTGGGTCTCCAATACTTGATTGGATATCAAGGTAGTATCTCATGATCTTCAGATGGACTGGAAGATAGTTTAACCTGTCAAATGAATCACTGACTTCACGGCTCTTCCTGAACACACTCCTACTCAGGCATAACTGTAATGCTGGGTGATTCTTCACAAGATGTGCATGCCCTCATATTGTAGTGTTGCCAGGTAGTCTTCCGGGTACCACCATCTCCCCTTGGAAAGCACAGAATCACCAAAAGCCAAAACCTGGCTTAATTGAAGTTGGCCGTTTGGGCTAAATCAGTTTATATATTTGTTCCTTAGTGAAAGGAGGTCCATGTGTGTGTGGTGCTTTTGCAGAGAGATTGCGCAGAGTTCCACTGAACCGAGGACCTAGTAGAGGTGTGGGTGTTGTGGGCTAGTTCTGTGTGGTGGATGAAGCACCAGAAGCACTGCTATGTTTTAAATTTGCAAAAGTTTAAAGACATTTGAAGTCTTACTAGAAAGAATTCAGAGGATCAGGCTTTGCTTGAAGACACAACACTAAAAGGGCCCTTTATCTGTGACCATTCAGCATTGTTTCTGAATCATATTGTACTTGGTTCTGTGGATACAAAGAGAAACTTCCAGGTCTTTGGCAACCTTTCCCAGAATATGGTGTCAATGGGTGTTCCCCCAAGCTACCCCTAACCAGTACCTGAAGTGTGTTTTGCTTATTTTTTCCTCTGTGAACATTAGATCCGCAGAAGTGAGTAACCCTGCTCTGCACTGGAGCCCAGCTCAGCTCCTCACTGCAGTCTGGGAGGAGAGGAAGGGCTGGGGGGCCTGGGCTGCTGTGATCCCAGCACAGGTAGAGCTGCAGGTGAGGTGCTTGGCTTCACCAGCAAGACAGTGCAGGACTGCAATGGCTCAGCTTGAGCCCTGGCTCCAGTCTACACAGCTACTTCACTTTAATGTGTTAATGGCCTTACTAATCCTGGTTGTAACTGTCCTTATTTGTGAAACAGAGGCAGATCTGTTTTTGAGTGTTTTACTGATTAGAGATGTATTTAAGTGCCTAGCACAGTTCCTCAACAAAGCTCCAAGATGCATAAGGCGTTGTCTAAGTGGCAGATCTTAATATTAATATTGCAAGGGCAAGTATTTGACTCTTCTCCAGTTCAGGTTCCCAATCCATTCCCGATTCTAGCTTTGAACTGTTTTATACCCAGATGCCCACATGGGAGACTCAGATTAAGTTCTGGGCCCCTGGCTTCAGTCTGGCTCAGCTCTATTTGTACAAGCAAGCATTTGAGGGGTGAACCAGTACCTTACAGAAGGCAGGGAGCTCTATAGAGGTTGGTGCTAGCAGAGTGATGAGAAGCAGTGGAGTTCAAGTTCTTTTGCTGGTGGTCTTCCTCCATGACTGTTTTCCACCCCAGAGACAGGAGAGTCTACCTATCCTGGAAAAGGCAGGTAGGCAAACCCCCCACCACACACACACACTGTTATTCTTTGAGAAATTAATGGAATTTTTTATTTAACACTGAGGAGAGAAGAAAAACATGAGAGAAGCCTGCAGCTTGCTGTACTGTTTGTTTTCCAACTGTGTTTACCTATGAAATAGCTATTTGATTGGTTGGTTATGTTAAGTCAGAACACTTAAGCTGGAAATAAAATGGTTTATTGAGCCTTTATGGATGCTAGCCAGAGCAAGAACCAGGTCCCGGGACAAATTTCCACAGCCACCAGTAGCAGGACTAGGTAACAGTTGGAAAAAATGTCTGTCTGACCTACAGCCAAGAGTATTTTTGTAACAGAAATTTGGGAAAGGAAAGCACAAGTTGTTGACTTTGTGCCTTCATTGGTTGTAGACAAGTGGGGCAGGAAAATATGTGGGGTAGGAAAAGCTTCAGGGTAGGAGGACCCCTCCAGGGCAACAGATAACAGGGCACTGGCTACCATGTACCCTGGTGTTGGACTTGACGGGAACTGGGTCAAGGTTTCAACATGTGTTCAGAGATGTGAGACAGTCTTTGGTTGGTTCCAACAGTAGCTATTAACGGTTCAGCTTCTTTGTCTCCCCTGCTCTGCTCCACTCAGCCATATCCCACCTTTGTAACTGAATTTAGGATGCCTCAGAATTCTTTTATCAGTTGCCTGGAAAGATGTTCTCTAGTTGGGGAACATGTAAAGCTAATAGTTTTTAAAGCAATTTTCTCTGAATACAGACTGTCCTTTATAGCTAGTTAATGTAGCGCTTATTGAATTGTCCTGGACAAGATGACTTCTTAAAATTGGCCTGGCTAAGAGAAAACTCTGAGACAATGTCCATTAGTGATGCTACCATTCTCCTTATTTTCTATTTATTTTTGGTAAGAAAGAAGTAAGAGTCAGCCTTTAAATGAGGTCAGCCATGCTTCAATAAATGTTTTCTGTGTTCTGTCAAGCCAAGCATGCTTTGTTGTCTTAGTGATCCCTGGAACACAGAAGTTAGCCCAAGAAGCTGTACATAAATTAAACTGTAGAGAGGGCTAGGAAGATTATCTACATTCCTCTACACACACTTAGCCTCTGCTAACGTCTGACATGTGTCCAACATTGAAGTCTTAGTATGTTCCTCACGTAGAATTTGTCTTATCTAATGACTGCATGTTGTGTCTGTCTTACTGGGCCTTGTGGGTCAGATCTGGGTTCAGATCTTCGTCATCAAAGGCTTTCTATTCTATCATGACTGTGTCATCTGTTGGCTAGCTCACTGAGAGCAAGCTGCCAGGCTGGCTGTTTCCTATGTACCCACTCTTTTCCCTTCCATTTTAATGTGTGCACTGACAGGCCAAGGCAATGCTGGGTGGTTTGTGTCCTTCTAGTGGGGCACAACCTCTCCTGTGAGTGACCTTTTCCCGGTAGCTGTTCTTCCCAGATTCCAGAGAGCAGTTGCTCCCTGTGATCCTCTCTGCATGGGGCTCCAGTAGGATGTCCCCTTACCTTTTTCTCTCTGTACTCTACCCAAACCCGCATGAAGTAATCCTGTTCTTAAGGTCATCGGATTACTCACTTTGAACATACCACATTTATCCTATAGGGACCCTGAGCAAAACAGACATTTCTAGCATCATTTCTATCAACGCTAAGCAAGCACTGATGGTTCTGTGCCGAAGTAGTTCATTTACACATGAGTCTAAAGGCTTGGATAGCTAGAGTGCCAGGAAGCAGGAGACATTCATCATTTACCTTGAACTTTTTCTCACCGCCAACTATCCAAGCAAAACCTGTTCTCGCCTCCATCAACTTGGCAGTAATACTGTGTGTGCCCCTGTATCAAAGTCTCCTTCAGTGTATTTTCATTCTCTTTCTCCTGCATGAGATGATGTACCCACAGTGAAACAGCAGTGATTAATGTCTGAAATAAGTACCTTATACGGCTGTCCCTTGGTAATTATTAATTTTGTTTATATTAATATTTATTTATTAAGGTTATTTATTTGACAGACTGAAAGAGAAAT